CATTGCTTTTTGACAATGTTCAGTTCTCAATAAACCACAGCAAATGTGAAGATTCAAACAGCATGAGTGTGTGATGAAGCTTACACATAATAAAAAGCAGCAGTGTAATAAAAAGAAATACATTTGCCCATGTAATGCCCAGGTACCAAGAAGAACCAGCTGTGATCAGCGAGAAAGCAGACGTTCAGAGTAAGAAATGGAATCCGTTTCGCCCTCCAAACACGGCTACCGCTAAGAGCTCTAAAGCCGTCTCTCTGCTGACCCTCCTGACCAGTGAGTTTCACTTTTTTGAATCATTTCTTGCTTGAATCTATGAGTAAATGTGCCAATATGCCAATTAAGTGCTTCCTAAAGGGTTAGTTCATCTAAAATGGAAGTTTTGTTATTAATTACTCACATTCGTGTCATTCAAACCCCCTGAGACCTTCATTCATCTTCAAAACACAAACTAACGCCCCATTCACAGGTGGCGTCAGCGTCAACACTTCCTATTGACTTTGAATGGGTGACGTCAGGCGTTGCCAAACTGCATTGTGGATCCGTCGGTGCGCTTCAGAGACGTTGCTCGCTGCAGAAGTTGGGACTAGCTCAACTTTTCAAGCATCGACGGAAGCGTCAGCCAATCAGATCGCTTTATGCAAAGACACCTGCTCAGACAGTGGCCTATTGCTGACTGAATTTCATTGGCTGACGCTTCTATAATGATAGCTTCAGCCCCAACTTCAGACACGCCTTCAGTCAAGCGTTGAGGCTGAAGCCTGGTGTGAATTTGACGTAAGATATTTTAGATGTAACCCTGGAGCTCTCTTATCCTCCATAGACAGCAAGGGTCCCAAAACGTTCGAAGTCTGGAAAAAAAAAAAAACAACACTAGGTAAGGGTTGGCAAGTCAGTGTTTTTCCTACGGTATTGGGCTACTTTTAATTGCATACTGTAGGCTGTATTTTTTTTCTGTGGCATAAATGTTTGACAAATTACAAGAATTAAAGTTATATGGTTGCCTTGCAATATTTTACTGTACCACATTTATATTTGATCAGTTATAAACAATGATATACAGGATGTTGAAACAGAGTAAGCACATTTATGTGAGGTGCAGAGAAGATACAGCACATGCAGCTGCAGCAATTTAATTAATATCTTTATTGTGAGTTTTAGATTTGGAAAATGTCTTAATTTAAAATTAATTTTACAAGTTAAGAGTTATAAACTTTTATGATAAAAGAATGTTTATAAATGCTAATGTACAGTTATTTCAAAAACAAAACCATTTATAATACATACAGTGATGTGAAATATGTATTTTAGGAATAGACTATGGCTTATTTTATTTGATATACCACATACAGTTGAAGTCAGAATTTTTAGCCCCCTTTTGATTTTTTTCCCTTTTTTAATATTTCCCAAATGATTTTTAACAGAGCAAGGAAATTTTTACAGTATGTCTGATAATATTTTTTCTTCTGGAGAAAGTCTCATTTGTTTAATTTCGGCAAGAATAAAAGCAGGTTTATTTTTTTTAAAGCCATTTTTGGGACAAAATTATTAGCCTCTTCAAGCTATTTTTTTTCTCGATAGGCTAGAGAACAAACCATTGTTATACAATAACTTGCCTAATTACTCTAACCTGCCCAGTTAATCTAATTAACCTAGTTAAGCCTTTAAATGTCACTTTAAGCTGTATAGAAGTATCTTGATAAATATCAAGTAAAATATTATTTACTGTCATCTTGACAAAGATAAAATAAATCAGTTATTAGAAAGGTTTTTTGAACTATTATGCTTAGAAATGTGCTTAAACAATATTCCCTCCATTAAACAGAAATTGGGGACAAAATAAACAGGGGGGCTAATAATACAGGGGGGCTAATAATTCTGACTTCAACTGTATATTTATATTATATATTAATTTAAATTACAGACTAGTGTAGTAAGTAACAAAAGTATTTTCTTTTACCTTTTTTGCCTCACGAAAGTGTTATAGTTGAAACACTAAATCACATGGACCGTTTTGACAATATTTACTCGAAATACTCAAAAACTGAGGATGAGAGAGCTCCAGGATTTCATCTAAAACATCTTAATTTGTGTTCTGAGAATGAACTAAAGTATCAGGGGATTGGAATGATGTGAGGGTGAACAATTAATAACAGAATTTTATTTATAGGTTAATCTGAATGAGATTTGGGAGACAAATTATAATTCAAAAATGTGCAGCCTGAAAATGAGGAGGATAATGGGTAATGTTATTTAAATTGTAGTTGTTACAATTAATATTAAAAGGGATAGTTCTGCCATCATTTACTTATCCGTCACTTGTTCCAAACTTGTTTGGGTTTCTTTCTTCAGTAGAAAAAAAAAAAATCTGTTTATTGACTTCCATAATATATTTTAAGATATCAATAGCTCTGCCCAACATTCCTTAAAATAACTGGTTTTGTATTCAACTAAAAAAATTACCACACAAGCGTGAATAAATGGAGAGGAAAGGTTCATTTTTGTGTGAATAACCCCTTTAATTTGTTTCTAGCAGGATTTAAATAATATATTTTCTCTTAATTATGTCTGTGTGGTGGCCCTTGTCTTGTTATTATTCTCAATTTTCAATGAATATCTTATGGAGTTTTATGCTGAAATGGCTTAATTTCTTTACTCTTAACATTATTTCTAGTTGTGTTTTCGATCATCCTGAGTGTGATCATCACAAAGGGTGTGGAAGCGGGTCTGATTGCGGAGTGGTGGATGATTCTGATCATCACTGTGGTCGCGGTGGGTTTTCTCCTGACTATTATTATTATTTGGCGGCAGCCGCAGAACAGAACCAAGGCCGCATTCATGGTAAGTGTAGTCAGTACAGAAATTTCATCATTCCATACAAGAATTTTAAAAACTTGCATTGATAAAAAAAAGGAAATAAATTATAGTAAATGCATGTATTTTTCATATCTTTCAAAGATTATACAATTGACTTCAAAATTATTCACCCTCCTCTGAATTTTTATATTCTATTTCAAATATTTCCCAAATGATGTTTCACAGACCAAGGAATTTTTTACAGTATTTACAATAATATTTTTTCTTCTGGAGAAAGTCTTATTTGTCTTATTTTGGCTAGAATGAAATCAGTTCTTAATTTTTTTTAATCATTTTTAGGTCAAAATTATTAGCCCCTTTAAGCAATATTTGTTTTCGATCATCTAGAGAACAAACTACTATTATACAATTATTTTTATTTATTTACTTATTTAATTATTTATTTAGTTAGTTAGTTGGTTAGTTAGTTATATTTTAAGTGGCATATTGGCTGGCAAAACCTATACTAAATAAACAATATATAAAATCACATCAGTTTTTAACAAACATACAAAAAACAAAACAAACAATCAAAAACATTGAAAAGAGTCATTTAAAATCTTTTAGTTTGATTAAAGTTGCTACAGAAGACCGGATTCTGCATCTTGTATATACAACCTGACCATGTCTACTTTCAAAATGGTAATTATTTCTTTCATCTACAAATGGATTCACTTCATACAATAAGCTGTTTCTGCATTCATCCCATTCCATTTGCCATTTCTCATTAATATACAGATTTAACATCAGACACAGGAGTTTTGCTTTCTGTTATCTCCACCTGTAGGGCTTCCTTAGCGGTTTTATCTGCACATTCGTTTCCGATGAATCCCATATGACCAGGTATCCAGCAGAAAATAATATCAAAGTCTTTTTCCTTTAGAATCTCCACTTTTCTATTATGCTAAAAATCATAGGATGATCAGTTGTCATAGATTCAAGTGCTTGTAAGCAGGACATACAATCTGTGCAAGTTAAAAACTGCCCTTGCTATTCTTTTTCTATTTGTACCAGAGCTAAAAGCAGTGCACATGCTTCAGCTGTGAATATCGAGCTTTGTCCGGGAATACTCTTTCTAAAACACTCTGAACCAATCACTGCTGGAGATACTCATGCATCTGATTTTGATCCATCTGTATATACTGGTATATAAGTCGGTGGATTGCATTGTATATTCTGAAATTCTATCTGATAAATATTTGGGTGAATTTGCCTTTTTTTTTGTCCCGAGACAGGTGCATTATAATAGATATTCAATTATTTGCCTAATAACTCGCCTTGTAACCTATAGTTAAACTTTTTAAATGTCACTGAATACTATCTAGTCAAATATTATTAACTGTCATCATGGCAAAGATAAAATAAATCAGCTATTAGAAATGAGTTATTAAAACTATTATGATTAGAAATGTGTTGAAAAAAACTGTTCTCTGTAAAACAGAAATTAGGGGACAAAATATCCAGGAGGGCTAATAATTCTGACTTCAGCTGTATATGGTCAATGTTTTTTCCTCCAACACAAAATGTCTCTGTCTGAATGTCTCTGGTTGTCGGTAGAGTCATCGTTGAAATGTTCTGTTTAAATAACGCTGCTTTGCTTCTCAGAATCTTTTTCACATGTTCCTGTAGGTGCCACTTCTGCCACTGCTTCCTATTTTCAGCACATTCATCAATGTCTACTTGATGCTTCAGCTCGGCAGTGAAACGTGGATTCGTTACGCGGTGTGGATGGCAGTGGGTGAGACCACAAGACTATTGACACCATAGAGTTGTACATACACTCTCAGTTAAACGTCGAGACATGCTCGGCTGAATTTGCTGATTTCATCATTTTGCAATGTTTTGTTTGAAATATCCATACATTTTTTCGAAGAAATGGAAAGATCATAATACAGCGTGGAGAATTAGTATTAAACACGTGACCATTTTTCTCAGTAAACATATTTATAAAGGTGCTGTTGACTTGAAATTTTCTCCAGATGTTGGTAACAACCAAAGAAATGCAAATATTCAAAGAAAACAACATTGATTTGTTTACAAATGAAGTTGTGTGTGTAATAAAATGAAATGTCGCAGGGAAAAAGTATTAAACGTTTGAACAAAGGGAGGTGTAGAAAGGCAGTGAAAGCCCAGACAGCAGCTGAAATCTCTCAGTAGTTCTTCAGCAACCCTCTGCCCTTCATCCGTGCAAATGAACATCAGCTGCTTCAGTCCAACATCTACATTAGCAGGAGGATGAAGATGAAACCAGGGTGGACATTTCAGCAAGACAATGATCCAAAACACAGGCAAGGAAACACTTAAATGCTTTCAGAGAAAGAAAATCAAGCTGTAGAATGGCCCAGCCAATCACCTGACTACATTCTCCATATGAGAGGCGTCTTTAAGCTGCCGTCACCATCAAAACCCTATATATAAAGTATAAAATACATTTCAGTAGTTCAGCACTTTCTCCTTACGTTCTTCCATTGTTATTACACAGAACCATTTTTTCAGTTTTTTTTGTCTTGCTTAATTTTTTTGCTTGTACTGTTTGGGTTTTACCAAAATCAGGTTCATTTCCCTGTCAACAGCTCCTTTAGAGATATTATTTTCAGGAAAAAACCAGATGTGTTCAATATTTATTTTTCCTGCTTTATAAGGGCAAGTTGTTAAAGAAATTAATATATATATATATATATATATATATATATATATATATATATTTTTTTTTTTTTACATAAACAATTAAACTAAAAAGCTCTGCCTCGAAAATCAGTGTTTGAGGAAATGTATTGAAGCAAATGCACATGCTTTATGACAATTATTGCATGTATATACTTTATTTTATATGCATTTGAAGACAACACGATCAGTCCTCCTGTCAAATATTTCTCCAGTGATGTATAATGAAGCAAGGCATTTTTTTCACAGTATTTCCAATTTCTGGAGAAAGTCTTATTGCTTTTAGCCTGCTTAAGAGATATTTTTGATTGACTACAAAAAAAAGCACTGTTGATAACTTGCCTAGTTAACCTAATTAACTTAGTTAATCCTTTAGGGCCTACTCTATGCTATCCGAACCGTGCCCAGGCCCGTTTCTCGGATCGATTGAGAAGTGTGAGTGCGCTGAATCGGATTCAGGCATGGTTCACTTGGCCGGCCCTGGCCCAGTTGGAAGAGGTGGGCCTGAGCGCAGTTCACTTGGGCTTTGGCGCGGTACGTTTTTAGTGTGAGTGCAAAACGCGCCAAAGCCCGAAACTGAAAGCAAGACGTGACTTTTAGGGGACTGTTTCATATGTGTTTATTAATCAATCTTACTGTTCAATGAACGCAAACTGCCGTATTTTATTAAATACGCAAACCCCTCACAGCATGACAGCTGCGCACCTTCAGCAGACCTCATTCCTGCAGCACGAGGGCTTTATGATTGTTTATGAGCACCAAAAGGGGTGGATCTGTTCGGCGAAATATCTGACTGCGTGTCACCGCATCCCTAAGGACTGTTTGGCGAAATATTTGACTGCATGTCACTGCATATCAAACGGCTGAAACGATATAACTAGAGAAATCTCCACTGTGCTGCTGAGTGAGAGAGCGCTTCTCACTGAACAGCACAGCATCGATGATGTAAGCGTGCCCAGGCCTGATTGTGGTGTGAGAGCGGGCCGTCGGGGGAGAAGGGAGGGGGGACAAGCGTGCTTTGGCCCGGTTAGAGGCAACTTAAGTGTGAGTACGGCCTAACTTGGACTTTAAACTCAACCCAGCAGGCACAGTACATCAACATGACATCAGATTGACATTGTGCCTCAATGTCGTAGGGTCATTGCATTTTGTTTGAAAATTTAAATTGGGTTGACGTTGGAACCACACGTCATTTCAACGTCATTGTCCAACATCTAACCTAAAATCAACCAAATATGAAAGTCTAATGATGTTACAGCTTGATGTTGTGAGGACATTACAACTATGACGTCTATCAGACGTTGGATTTTGGTTGCCATACCAGAAGAATAAATGTCAGTGTTTGGTTTAAGATGTTGGCTCGACGTTTAATATTGGTCACTTTACAACGCAACCTTAAATCAACTAAATATTCACGTCATTTGACAGCGTTATTGGAGGTCAAAATACCATTGTTCTTAAACGCTGGCTATTGAATTTTGGTCACTTGACAACTTAAATGTAGCCTAATATTAACGCCTTATGACACTGTATGCCAGCAGGGTATACACTGCATAAATATTATGTACTGTCATCATGTCAAAGACAAAAAAATTATTAAGAAATTATAAGATATTAGAAATTAGTTATTAAAACTATTGTTAAAATTGTCTCTTTTTTTACAAGATATTTTCAAGATACTTTTTAAAGTAGAGACTTTTAAAGGCTTAGCTAGGTTCACAAGACAAGTCATTGTATAACAATGGTTTGCTCTGTAGACAATCGAAAAAAATATGACTTATGGGGGGGTAATAATATTGACCTCAAAATGTTTTTTGGTCCCACTCTTTATTAAGTGTCCTTAACTACTATGTACTTGCATCAAAAAATAAATACAATGTACTTACTGTGTTCATAATGTATTTGAGAGCACTTGTGGTGCTCTTGAGTTGGGATAGGGGTTGGGTTAGGGACAGGTTTGGTGGTGTGTGTAGGTTTAAGGGTGGGTTAAGGTGTAAGGCAGTGGTCACAAAACTTGTTCCTGGAGGGCCGGTGTCCTGTAAATTTTAGCTCCAACCCTAATCAAACACACCTGAACAAGCTAATCAAGGTCTTGCTGGGTATACTTGAAACATCCAGGGAGGTGTGTTGAGGCAAGTTGGAGCTAAACCCTGCAGGGACACCGGCCCTCCAGGACCGAGATTGGTGACCCCTGGTGTAGGGAATGGTCAGCAGTGTATTTACAAATGTAATTACAGAAGTTAATTACAGATGTAATTACATACAGGTCTTTAATCAAGCATAAGTACACAGTAAATACATGTATTTACACAATGAGTACATTGTAACACACTATTAATTCCTGTGTAAGTACATATTAGTTAAGGCCATTTAATATAAAGTGGGACCTGTTTTTTTGTTTGTTTGTTTTTATAAAACCACTTTTTATTCAAGCCGAAATAAAACAAATAAGACTTTCTCCAGAAGAAAAAAAAAGGAAATAATGTGAAAAACTCTTGCTATGTGTTACGACCCCCCTCGTTCGAGTCACAACAAAAAAGACCTCAGACAACAAAAGATTAGATATGCAACTTATTTATTAGACAACCTAATAGAACAACAAATCAAGAAACAAACAAATCCCAAAAAAATAATAATAAAATAACTAACTTTAACTACACATAAATAATGCCAAACAAAACCATAAGGTTGCAGAAATCAAGAGATGGTCTTGACACGAGGACAGCCTGTAGCCACACCGTCCTCCAGAAGCTAGCACACACTGGAATTTATATGCTTTGAACCAATTGGTGAGCAACCAGGCACCCTATCAGGGTCTGCCACATCCATACTGGAATACTGGGGTCGTCACACTATGTTAAACATCATTTGAGAAATATTTAAAAAAGAAAACAAAAACAATAATTTTGACATCGGCTATATTTTTTTTTCATGTTTCAGAATGAGATATTTAGAAAAATCAACATGCTTTGCATATAATAATTGTCTTTCCTTAGGTTTGCTGATCTACTTCTGTTATGGAGTGCACTTCAGTGTGCAGAGGAAACGCAATAAATCTCAGAAACATCCGGAGATGGCTGATGCTAAACTGGAGGACGAGCAGAGAAACGGCTCCATTATACAAACACAAACCAAGCTCTGAAGCCACGTCAATGTCAAGTGTCTTGCACCCAGTGTTGTTGCGTGTAATGGGGTAAATGCACAGCTAGTGTTTTTCAGCCAACGATTAACTTCCGGTGAAAAGTTAATGAGACTATTTTTAATTTCATAAGGTTCCTTTTACAGCATTAATGTTGTGATGTAATAAAAATACAATAAGTGTAATAGACTTAAGCATTCATTCATGTTGTTCGAGCTTAAAACGAGATGAAACACAGTGTAAATGCTAGCACCGTCAGGAGCAGCAGGCTAGTGTGGAAATTCCATTAATAAATACTGGGGTAAGATAAATTGTCATATTTTAAAGACATGGCGGCGGGGAATTTAATTTAATGCAGTGCTTCTTGTCCTGTCTGAGATCCACATTATATCACATATCAATCAGGCAGCAAAGATCACTGATTTATCAAGAAAACAGATTGTAAACAGGCCGATTTTAAAACGGAAAGACCATTCACCGGAAGTGATTGTGCTGGCTGACTGAAAATGAAAAAGTCTGTGTGCATATACTCCATTAGTTACAAACTAACTAGTGACTGTGAATTACTTTTAAACTGGAAAAAGTAAAGTAAGGATTTACTTTTAATTTCTAGGTAATTAAATTAGTTACTTATAATAGACTTGCCTTAAATACTGTACATAAATTCAACAGCTCTGTATAAATCAATTCAGAGACCGGAGGAACATATATTTTGCAGATTAACTCTATTTTTCAACTAAATAACATTTATAATTTAGCAAGAAAATTGTATATGCTTATGACAAAAAATCTGAAATTATGTAAAGTTCATGAATGTTTGGTGTACATTCAGAAAAGCAGAGTAATTGTATTTATATGTATTTTTTTGTTAATAAAATGTATTTTATGACTAAAATGTGCAACTAAAAAGGGTTTCTTTTGTCCAACATTCATAAAAATAAAAATTTATAAAGCACTTTTGTTGACACTTAAAGCGCTTTGCACACTTTTTGGGAGGGATCTCCTCCTCCACCACCAGTGTGCACTGCAGCATCCACCTGGATGACACGATGAAAGGTGAGCCATATTGTGCTAGACATACCAGCTGATTGGTGGAGAGGAGACAGAGTGATGAAGCCAGCTATGATGGGGATAGTTGGGAAGCCATGATGGACAGAGGCCAGCAAGTTTGGCCAGAATGCCAGGGTTAAACCCCTATTATTTTTAGACGGACACCCTGGGTTTTTTAATGACCACAAAGAGTCAAGACCACGGTTTAACGTCTCATCCAAAAGCAAGCGCTCACTGAGCAGTATAGAGTCCCTAATAACTTGTATATTATTCATTCATTTTCTTTTCGGCTTAGTCCCTTTATTAATCCAGGGTCACCACAGCGGAATGAACCTCCAACTTATTTAGCATATGTTTAATGCAGCAGATGCCCTTCCAACTGCAACCCATCACAGGGAAACATCCATACACACTCATTTAACACACATACACCACAGACAATTTAGCCTACCCAATTCACCTATAGCACATGTCTTCGGACTTGTAGGAAAAACCGGAACTCCTGGAGGAAACCCACGCAAACACTGGGAAAACTTACAAACTCTACACAGAAATGCCAACTGACCCAGCTGAGGCTTGAACCAGCGACTTTCTTGCTGAGAGGCGATTGTGCTACCCACTGTGCCACCGTGCAGTCTAACTGCCAAATACTTCAAAGACACTGATTTGAAGTGTGTTTGTTTATGATAAGGCATTTTGTGGTGTTACTGTTTATATACTTTTATGTAAAAGACTGACCTGCAGTTAGACAACATTTTAACAATAACATTTCACTCTGTTGATTTAAGAAATTGGTATTTTGTGAATTGTCTCATTATTTATCAAAATAAAAGTTTAAATGAGCAGTTAAAACACATTTGTACTCATTTAAAGATCGATTTGAGTCACTATCTTGAAAACATTAATGCATTTAATCATGCACTGTAGGTGAATTGAGTAAACTAAATTGTCTGTAGTGTATAAGTTTGAATGTGAGAGAATATGGGTGTTTCCCAGAACTGGGTTGCAGCTGGAAGTGCATCGCTGTGTAAAACATAAGCTAGATAGGTTGATGGTTCATTCCGCTGTGGCGGCACCTGGTTAATAAAGGGACTGAAAAGAAAATGAACGAATGCCACCATGTGACAGTATTGTCCTCCAATCTTTCTCCTTCAGAGCGGCAGGTGGCGCCGTTTTCCAGAAAATTGTGAACCACACAATTGCAGAAGAAGAAATCCAGGGGTCTTATCAATATTTACAAAAACATCGCGAAGCACGGCTTGACGAACATTTGGGTAATTATTAAATCTGTTTGCATTGTTTTGTTGTCCAAGAGTACTTCCGGAATCTCTTTGTGCGGTCGGTTTATTCGTTATAAGCATGCAGTGCTGAAATAACCAACAGTGCCAAAGTTAGCCAAACCATCTGGCCAAGTTAACGTTACTGGTAGCAATTTATCCACGTGCGACACGTTTTACGATCTTCTTTGCATCTAAACAAGACTTTTCGACCACTTATGTTGTTAAGATGCTGTTTTAGTGTTGGTGAAGATGCTTTTAGCAAGCACATTTAGCTGTGGGTGAAGTTAGCGGTGATGCTAACTGCAGGCTGGGGAGGGTGCTTTCCTATTTATTTCGGTAGTTTATTAGTGTAACGCATTGATGTTTAGGAAAAGTCATAAACAAACTTGTTGATTTGCTTGTTTATTGGTGTTTTAAATAATAAGAGTCTATCTTCGATAAGTAAAATCCATATTACAGCATTACTGTAAATGGTCTAAACACACCCGTTTTGCTAGCTTAAATTATACTTAAATCAGCTATTGATAGACGTTATTTAAAGCACAAACACTAGATTCTTAAAAAGATTCCTCAAAAAACAACATGTCCCACAAAAAAAAATAATAATAAATTGGGTTGGGCCTAAAATCCTCCAGTTTCAACCTAATAATTAGAATATTCAATCTTATAATTTGTTTATTTCAAAATATATAATATAGTTAGCTGGAGTTTAATAATGTGCAATTAGTAGGCGATTCTAAAACGCTTAATGTGGCTTAATGTTCCTAAACTTCAACCATAGAAACCCAAATTTCTGTCAAACTTTTCTTGTAATTAACTACTGAATAAACAATGAGTCCCGATTTCATAGATGATGTGAAAAACTTCACGTTGCATGTTTACTCCACCATGTCCATCCCTTTATGACCACACTCTACCCATCTTCTGACTGCTCACTCCAGCAGGATAAGATGCCATTTCATAAAGCGTGAATCATGTCAGATTGGTTTCTTGAACATGACAATGTGTTCACTGTACTCAAATGGCCTCCACAGTCACCAGTTCTCAATCCAATAGAGCTTTTTTTGGGATGTGGTGAAACGGGAGATTCACATCATGCATGTGCAGCTGGCAAATCTGCAGCAACTGCGTGATGCTATCATGTCAATATGGACCAAAATCTCTGAGGAATTTTCCAGTACCTTGTTGAACTTATGCCACGAAGGATTAAGGCAGCTCTGAAGGCAAAAAGAGGTCCAACCTGGTACTTGTAAGGTGTACCTAATAAAGTGGCCAGTGAGTGTATAAACTCTACTGACTGGGTTCTCCTTTGTACAATTTCTCAAGAGAAAAAACTCCTTTCCACAAATTGAAGTAAAAAAAAAAAAACTGTAATGGTGGTAATTTGGTATTTTATTTTTTAGTTTTTCGACTTCCAACAGTGCGGTTTCACTTTCATTTAGCCTGGGTTGCTAGGTTTATTGTGTGTGCAAAGCGCTTGATTTGCAGCTCCAACCCAATTCTGCCCAGTGCTGGAAAGAAAGTACATAAAAATCATACCTCAGTAAAAGTACCATTACTTGCCTAAAAAAGTAGTGCAAGTATAGTAAAAGTATCTATTGTGAATATTACTCAAAGTAAGAGTACATAATAGACCTTACAAAGGTACTCAAGTGAGTACGCTGTAAAAAATTGATGCATTTACATGTAGTTTGCATATGTGTGTAAACGTAACATTCTGTAGTGCATGTAGTTATTGCCCAGCAGGCACACAACGTCATAAGACATTAATATTAGGTTCGATTTAGGTTGTGATGTCAGGTGACTAAAATTCAATGTCTAGCCAGCGTCTAAAATTGTAGGTTGTGTTAGAAAGTGACCAAAATTCAACGTCAAACATCATATTGACGTCAAATACTGACATTTATTCGTCAGTTATGGCAATCAGAATCCAACATCTGAATGACGTCATAGTGGAGTGGTAACGTCCACAGACACAACCTCAAGCTGTATCATCATTAGACGTTGATATTTGGTTGATTTTAGGTTGGACGTTGGACATTAGTGTTCTGATATGATTTTAGGTTGGACGTTGGGTTCTGACGTTAACCCAATTTTCATTTCCAAACAAGATGCAATGTCCCCACAATTTTGGGGTACACTGTATATCTGACCTTATGTTGATGTCTTGTCCCTGCTGGTTGTTTAAGGCTATTTCAATCATCATACAGTAAACATCTGTCATCTTCTCATCAGTGACAGTCTAATTTAATGATTCCAAACTGTTTGCTGCAATTATAAATCGCCAATGTCTTGAGGTTGTTCATTATGATGCGATTTACTTTATAATATTGCGATTTAACCCCTAATATATTGCATGTAATATTATCTACCATACCTTCAATATATCGTGCAGCCCTAGTTCATTACATCCGTAATCAAACTTCACTACTCTGCCTTCTTGTCCTCTAACTGTCTGAAACCACAGATGACTGCTTGACTGCCCAAAAAGCTTGGCGATGGAGAAGTTTGATGACGATTCCAGCAAAAAAACAAGTGAAGCTGAGCCTGTTAATGTGCAGAGCCTCTACACAACCCTTGGCCTGTCATCAGAAGATGTGGATGCCCTTGCGAAGATTCCCGAAAGTGAAATCAGCGTAGAGACGCTTCCTTTTCTGATCATGCAGATCAAAACGAAGAAAGCCACCGACACGTCGTCCAGCGCAGACACCGACCACAAGGACAAGTCCAAAGATTCAGAGGAAAAGCAGGAAACACCCGAGAGCTGCACCGATGCTGCTAAACCCAAGAGCAAGAGTCCCCCAAAAGTCCCGCAAAAGCGCTCTGGCAGCCACGAGCAAAAAAAGAAGGCAGAGAGTCATAAGAAGACTGAGAGGCACTCCGGAGGAAGAAGAGACTCGAAGTACAGCTCGTCCCGAGAAAAACAAAGCGGGGATCATGCGGCTGCGGAGACGGAGTGTGCCGACAACCCAACCGTTTTCCCACATGAATGCACTCGTTGCAAATGTGTGGTGAACTCTATAAAGGTATGTTGGAGGAATTTAACGTCTGCATGAAATCAAAATTTACGCTGTTTATTTTGCTAGTGCACTGCAAAAAAAAAAAAAGTTTCCTTACTAGGGGTGTAAAAATCGAAATCGATCAAAATTTATGCTTAATTTCGATTATCGAATCAAAAAATAGAATCGTCGATGCTGCCACGCCCCCATGTCACGTCAACTTGGCTTGCCAAGCGGGAAAATAACAGACTTGTTGAAGTGCTTGTTAAACTGCTGAAGCAGGAGACCCGTCGACAGAACTTAAACCCTCTCCTCTTTCAATGAAGTCGCCGGTGTGTAAGCATTTTGGATTTTCAGTGAGTTATGTTGACAATGTTCGTGCTGTCGACAAAAAAAACACAATTTTGCAAGCTCTGCTATGTACGTATTACGTACGGTTCGTCCGATAGACAACACCGGCATCGCGATCCTCCGCCCGCCCCCGTTGCAAATCCGCTCGCGAAAAGTACACACTCAGGCCCTGTTTACACTGTCTTTGTTTTTAAATGGCATTTTAGAACGACAACGATTTGACATCCACAGTGGCGTGTAGCATTTCTGAGCAGCCCTCCTTCCTCTCTACCTCTGAAAATGCACATCACGTGACCACACAGACACAGACGCACTCACTGCCATGCGCTCGAGACAGCAGGTCCAGGCAGTCAGAGGACTGCTTCAATCTTTCACTCACTTGTACTTAGTCAATTTAGCGAACACCTCAGATACTGTTGGCTGGTTCCTGTTGGTTGTGCGTCTTTTTTTACCGACGCCATTATAACGACACAGATCACTGCCTATTCACGAGTCCCGCAGAAAAAAAGTGATTGACAGGTGGTAATTATGTGTGTATCTTACCTTTATTCATTTACTATATGATTTGTTTATGGGTAAAACAAAGACCATGCAGGTCAGGTAGTTTAAACGGTAGTTTAAATAATTAATTGGTCATTAATTAATTAATTATTCATAATCGAAAATCAAATCGAATTGTGCCTTTAGAATCAAAAATGTAATCGAATCGAGGATTTGGAGGATCGTGACACCCTTATTCCTTACATAGATTTTTTGGTCCAAATCTCTAAAAATTCGTAAATTATAAGGCATTTTCTGCTTTTATCATTTGAAATTGTTGTTTGTGTTCTGTTTTCTTGCCCCTTCAGACATGGAAAGAGCATCTTTCAGGTTCTCGCCACAAATCACATGACTCACAGTCCTCTCAACGAAGTTCTCGCCCACATCCACCTCCCAAAAGACCCTACAGCTCCGACCCTTTCGCAGGTAAGCAATTTCCCTTCACATCAATTATTAATGATTATTTTTAGTTAATTCTTAGTTGCTTCATTTTATAAAGCTGATCATATCATAAATCAATAAAGGTCGTCATGTAATTTTTGCCACTAGAGGGCGTGTATTCACAACAAACAAAGGTGACGTTTGATGTATGGTAAATCTTTTTTTTTACATTTGTAAAAACTGAACCGATGTGTAATGTAAAGAACAGTATGTATTTTTCGCCACTAGAGGGCGAATATTCACAACAAACAAAGGCGTAGTTTGCTGTATTTTAATCGTGTGTTTTTTTTACATTTCTGAAAACTGAAGCAAAATAAAGAAAAATCCATTATTAAAAATTAAACCACAACAAAAAAGCAAACTCTTTTTCTTCCCCAGCTTCCTGCTTCATAAGAAATGAATCAGCTCATGAAAGAAATCTGGCTCCTTTAAAATCATTTGAATGTCGCACAAATAAGATCAGATTTTTTTTTCTGAAAACACTGTACTATTGTTTTTATCTTAAAGGGGATTCGTTCACTTCAGGCATGCCAGACCACCTGTTCCCTCCTAAGGTAAAGAAATTGTTATTACTGCTATTTTATTTTCAATTCTATTATTCAGGAAGTCAGAATGTCTGAATTTCTGCTTATTTTAATGTGGATGTATTATGCAGCCCAACACCAGAGTGGTGGTTGCCAAATTCCCTATGGGCGCTGTGACCGTGGAGGACCTTTTGGTGCTTGGCAAACCATTCGGCACTGTTGTGAAACACCTGGTGTTGCCAGCAAAGGTAAATAACAACTAGAAGTGAAGTTTATTTATAAACTAATTTCGAGAGGATCACGTGCTTATGATTGCTTGCAGTCGGCCCGCATTATTTAATTTACAATTCACCAATCAGACGATTCCTAAGCCACTATGAATACCCTTAGTTCAATATAACAGCCATCTTAGTTTTGAAGAATCCCCCCTTTCACCCCTACTCCTCCTCCTTTCTTAGATGGGTGGCATGGTGGCCCTGTGGTTAGCACTGTTGCCTCACAGCAAGAATGTCACTGGTTCTAGTCTTTACCAAGCCAGCTGATGTTTCTGTGCGGAGTTTACACGTTCTCCCCATGCTCGCATGGCTAGTGGGAAATATCCCGCCAAAGCTAAAATCTACCCACATTTGCGGGTTGGCGGGTGTTAATGTCAAGGCCTGCATACGATATATTGCACTAAAATAAATTGCGTTAAACAATATTTGACATTTTATGCCACTCATTTTATATTGCCAGAATGACAATATATAATATCATCACAATGCAAGTACACTCTTTCAAAGAACACATCATAATTAATTATTAATTTTTAATTAACTTATAGCCATTTTACCAGTTTAGTTATCTGGCATCAGAATCAGAATGTGAAAACGCATATCCTAAATCAAAAATAACAAAAAGTGCAAGGTCAAGAGTAACAGAGGCTGCGATATCTGCTGCAGATCTATTTTCAGTCGTCAGACACCCACATGAAAATATACTATAGTAAGCGTGTCACGATCCTCCAAATCCTCGATTCGATTACATTTTCAATTCTAAAGACACGATTTGATTCGATTTTCGATTATGAATAATTAATTAATTAATGACCAATTAATTATTTGTAGCCTACCGTTTAAACTGCCTGACCTGCATGGTCTTTGTTTTACCCATAAACAAATCATACAGTAAATGAATAAGGGCAAGATACACACATAATTACCACCTGTCAATCACTTTTTCTGCAGGACTCGTGAATAGGCAGTGATCTGTGTCGTTATAATGGCGTCGGTAAAAAAAGACGCACAACCAACAGGAACCAGCCAACAGTATCTGAGGTGTTCGCTAAAATGACTAAGTACAAGTGAGTGAAAGATTGAAGCAATCCTCTGACTGCCTGGACCTGCTGTCTCGAGCGCATGGCTGTGAGTGCGTCTGTGTCTGTGTGGTCACGTGATGTGCATTTTCAGAGGTAGAGAGGAAGGAGGGCTGCTCAGAAATGCCACACGCCACTGTGGATGTCAAATCGTTGTCGTTCTAAAATGCCATTTAAAAACAAAGACAGTGTAAACAGGGCCTGAGTGTGAACTTTTCGCGAGCGGATTTGCAACCGGGGCGGGCGGAGGATCACGATGCCGGTGTTGTCTATCGGACGAACCGTACGTAATACGTACATAGCAG